AGTTAATTGATGAACTGCGTCGCTTGTTGATGAACCCGGTCTGAATCCAAACTGTGAGCTGGAGAGTAGGTTATTACTTTCTAAATAATCGATGAGGCGTTTGTTTATCAATTTCTCAATGATTTTGGATAGCGTAGATAGTTTAGAAATAGGTCGGTAGTTACCGACACAATCTCTATTACCACCTTTATAAACCGGAATTACTTCAGCTAGCTTGAATAGGTCCGGAAAGATCCCTGTAGAAAGAATCAAATTAAATATATATGTAAGTGGAGGGACTAAGATTTCATGATAACGTTTGAGAAAGGCTCCAGAAATATTATCTCTGCCCGCAGCACCGTCCTTCTTCAGTTGCAAGATAAGAGATTGAACTTCAACTACATCAGTAGGTAGCATGACGAATGAGGACAGTGTAGGATTGATTGATGGTTTTTTATAAGAGCTACTAGAATATGCTTTTTCGGCAATCTCTTTCCCGATAGAAACGAAATATTTATTAATGTTGTTGACAGAGACCATCGGGTCCAGTGGAGAGACCAATTCAAGTGCAGTGCTAGTTGTATTGTTGGAGTAGGTTAGTTGTTTGATAGTGTCCCAGAGAACTTTTGTATTAGTCTTAGCAGCTTTAAGTAGGCGGTTTCTCTCATAAGTATTTTTAATATTTTTTAAAAGTGAGTTGCAAAAATTTCTATACCTCTTGTAAGTTAACGTTAATATTTCGTTACTAGGATTTTTTCTTGATTTTTGATGTAGTTTGTCACGATGCTTTACACATCTTAGTAGACCTGCAGTCATCCAGGGCCTCTTGATCCTTTTACGATTTGGGATGGTTAAAGTTTTCGTATTTGCTTTAATTACAGTGTCAAGCGCAGTCAGAAGAAATGCTGTTGCCACATTGGGATCAGTCATTTTATATACAAGGCTTAGGTTTAAGTTCGTCATAGCATCGTCCAAAGACGGGTAATCAATCTTTTTCAGAGAAGAGTATTTGTCAGTCATAGTGCTACGTTCAAGTTTCAGAATTAAAGTGTCGTGATCCGTGACTGAGGTTTCAGCAACATAACAGAAGACGCGATAAGAACATTTTAGTATTACATGGTCAAGACAAGTCCTGCCATGAGTTGGAAATAAGTGGGCTGGCAATAAACCATGAGAAGCCAACATATTCAAATACGTTGAAGAGTTAACATCCTTATTGTTATCCAATATATCAATATTGATATCACCTATCAGAACTTTATGAGTACTACTAATCTCAGAAAGAAGTTTGTCAAGAGATACCAAAAACCGTTGAACATCTTTGTAACCAGGTGGTCTATATACTGCAATTAGTGTTACATTATCCTCAAGGTTAATCAGTAAACAGTTGGCATCACAAAGGTCAGGCTCGGATATAACTAATTTCAAATGTTCTTTGTAAAATACTACAACTCCTTCATTCTGTGTGAAGTTTTTCTCGGTTAGAGCAGAGTTGTATCCCTCAAGAGATGGTAAGTTACGATTATTATGCAGCCAGCATTTGAAAGATAGATATTAGCTTACTGAACATGCATAAAAAAATTAATAAGAATCGGCGACCTGTTTCGGAGGAGTATGGGAACGAACATTGTGACACGAGAATTTTATATATTAGATTTATATTTAGAGCAAAAATATAGAACACAGTTTGCCCTCAAACGGGCAGCTTACAATGATATTAAGTGATACCGCCACCTATAGACCTGCATTGCCTGAAGGCTCGGTCCCTTGAATCGGATCCCTATATTGGCGCGATATTACTTGAAGGACCCTAAGTTTAAATGTATTCCGTAGAGGTACAAACACTATATTTTTGGTAGTATTTGAAAAGATACCAAATAATGCAAGGGCGGGCAAATCGCTGGCAACATGCCAACGCGGCTCGTTGGCGGTTTTAATAGCAATATTTAAGCTTTTCGATTTAACGCAGACACTTACGTATAAATTATTGCCTTTGTAATCTAAAGTAATTCCTAATGCGCCGGTTTGTATTAAAAACTGGTTGAGCTCCGAGTATGATGATTGATGATTAGCCTTTATTGCTGACACCCATACAATTATTTAAGTTACATAAAAAAAACACTTAATTCTAACACATAAATAAAATAAAACTTAATCTAATGCATCATATGACCCGTTTTTGGTAATCAGCGTGTCCTGTGACACGTAGGCCTCTTCCAGCTGTTTCCATTCTTTCGTGTTATTAGCTCTTCTTGTCCAAGTTGTGCCTCCTATTATCTTAATATCGTCTGCCCATCTCTTGGTCGGTCTTCCTCTTTTCCTTTTTCCATCACGTGGTTGCCATTCTGTAATTATTTTTGTCCATTTCAACCTGCTATCTCTCGTCATGTGCCCAGTCCAGCGCCATTTCAACTGCCTTATTTTCTTTATAATGTCTTCTACTTTGGTCGTTGATCTGATCTCTTCTGCTCTTTTTCGATGTCTCAGTGTTACACCCACCATGCTTCTTTCCATTCCTCTTTGGCATGTTCTCAACTTTAGAAGATGTTTCTGAGATAAAGCCCAAGTCTCGCAGCCGTATGTAACACATGGTAGGATACATAGATTGAACACCTTTTTCTTAGCTACTATTGGGAAGTCTTTACTTTTAAGTACTTCCTTGAGTGACCAAAATCTCTTCCAGGCGCTAGACACTCTTCTTTCTATCTCAAGATCCATTTGGTCATGAAATGATATTATTTGCCCTAAATATACGTAGTGGTCTACATATTCGATAGCTTCTCCTCCTATTTGTATCATAATAGTTTCTCTATTTGTCATTATTTTCGTTTTAGATTTGTTCATAGAAAGCCCAACTATCTTGCTTGCTTCTGTCAGCTGTTGCAGCATAGTTTGAAGCGTCTTTGCGTTATCTGAAATGATCACTAAATCGTCTGCGAATCTTAGGTGGAGCTCCGAGTATAGACAAGTTAATATGTCACATATATGATATGCCTTTTTACGGTAAACGAAGTATCTAATAAAACTACATTTTCAATTCACGGGTGTAAAGTTTTTAATTAAGTTGAGTCAAGCCAATCTTAAATTTTGTCATTACATTGAAGATCGATTAAAAACTTTCATTCATGCAAATCTTGTCTAGACAGTAACGAAAAAATTCAATTTAGTGCATTCGTTCGAGAGTGTTCGACGAAATGTTTACCATGCATCATAAATTAAATAGTAGCATTAAGTAAAATGAAAAAAAGCTTCACTCCTTGGTGTAAGATTTCTATGTGTTTCATATTTTCTGCTCCTGACGCGATCCGTGGATTTTTGGCTTTTGATGTTGTTGTTGTTGTCTCCTCATGACGTTTTTTCTTCACCGTATTCATTGCATTCCTAATGGCGTAGATTCAATCCCCAGCTGTGTATCAATGGATTTTCTGTATATGTGCGCTTTTAGAACTCGATCGTACGGTGGTGGAAAACATCGTGAGGAAATCGGTATGTCACAAATACAAAAATCGATAAAATGTGTCAGACAGAAGCCCGTCTTGTCTATGAAACAAAAATAGACAAATAATAATAGGTTTGAAGCGCCACTGGATTATTATTATAATAGATAGAGTTATTCATTGGTTTAAACCAGCGTTTAACAAACAAACTGAGGGCTAAGTATCGCGCAACTAGACCTTAGACAAAGGGTACGATTTAAAATCGAGACTTCAGAGCTGACAAGAATAACTTGGCGTTCTAGCAGCACCACCTATATCTATAACGTAAATCTAAATATATGGCTGTTACTTATCATATTTTGTACATAACATAAACAATACTCCATAGTGGTATTTCCCGTCTACTCTGTAATGTGTTCACAATAATCTTAAATAATTTCTTCTGTCAACAAATTAGAAAGTCAATTATTTCATAATAAGAGAAACTTTGAGAAAACGTCTGAAATTATGTAAATTAAAGATAAAAGTTGGCAACTCTGAGACGCTTAGCCAGAATAAACCAAAGTATAAACAAAGTATTACAATAGATTTAAAGTAAAAAGTATAATAAATATTTGGGATAACCCGAGACCCGGCCTGAGCCAAAATTATTTTTCGAAAGGCGTCGCGTCGCCCGCTTGTTGAATTTGTATGAAAATGGTCACGTGACAATGGCAGATTTCGCCATAACTGAATGAATATATTATAAGGTAAGATTTAAACATCTTAGTAATTCCTTTAAACGAATAAATATCTTTTTGCGTAGATAAATAAATAAACAGGAGGCGTTCTCTAGCTTCGTAGGCCAAGGCTCTCTTTAGATCGCTGCGTCAGCGGAGTAAGTAAGTATGTATGATATTTCGTATTTTTAATCATAAAAAGACCATTCGATTTTTTAATAAATAAAGCTATATGTGTGTTAATGAATAAAGTTATCAGCATGACTTCACGTCAAGAAAGTAAACAAGTTAAAATTCGTAATAAATAACGATATAATCATGTAAAAACTGCATTAATTTAAATACATTAAGTATGTAAATGAACACTTAACCTCGTTTATACCTATCGCCGCAGGACCTGTAATTTCCCTTGATAAGAGAAAAATGCGTTTTCCTTTTTATTTATTAGCATTTAAACGTTTTCTATTGTGCATTTAATGCAAATGATAGTCTTTTGCAAAACTGTAATCTAGAATCTCTGTTCTGTGGGTATTGAATATTGCCTATTATTTATTTTTCGCTGCTTACTGCTTCATTAAAAAATAATTCAAAACAACTATTAATGTCCTAATCCCTGAATCTTTCTTCTTTTTTATAGCTACTAGTATGTCTGTCGCTCTCCGGATTTATAAATTTTGTGCTGCCATGTTTTGTTTTGCTTTGCTCTTTGATCATATTTCTTATCAGTGAAACTTTTTGTAGTTTCATCCAGTGTTTATTTTTTAACTTTTTTTATTGTATAGAGATGTATCTGTTTTGTTTCCTAAATAAATAGTATAATATTATTGTATGTAATTAATTACATAGATGAAGGTTGTATATTTATTTACCTGGTTCCAGCAACTGGCTGCCAAACAGCGTCGAGTGGTCCATGCGCAGGCTGTGGCGGTTCTGCTCCATCCCCACCATTATCCGTTCGTCCTTCCCAACCCTAAAACCAAATTACATATAATATAAGCGTAATAATTAGGTGATGGGTTCCATTTCTGTTGTTTATGTATGTACTTGAGCATGCTACTCCGACATGCGTTAAAAATAAAAGAGCACTTTTTTATCACCACAAACAAACAAAACACTCCTTTAATTTAAATTAAATTTCGAATATAATAAACTCATTATTTAACCACAAACAACAGACTTAACCATAAAACTGGCAAAACTGTAATCACTTCGATATTCAGTTCAATTATTATCCAGCGCATGTACGTGTCCAAAATGGATTAACGCAATTACAAGTCATAGTCGACGCCATCTTATGATTAAAACCAAACAAAATCAATGTGTCAACGTGTGTCACGAATGCAATTAACCTAGAACGAAATAGTCATCATCAGATCAATACCTGAATTGGTATATTTGAATTACTAATTTTGTAAGGTCGGACGTTTCTGGATTGAAAGCTTTATAATGAAATTCAAAGAAGAACAGATACATAAACAGTAAAGCAATATTGGTTTTGGTTTTAGATTGCAATTGTTTCTTTGTTATATTTTTGCCTTATATTTAAAGCCTCCAATTCAGAGTCGAGACTGTGCGCTAAGTATAAGTTCCGTATATCAAATGCAATAACCCGTTTGTTTTCTTTTCCTCTGCGAGCTATAAATTGCATGGAACCCACTAGTGCGAGACCGGGGTTGAAATTCGAATGCCTATAAACATTTATAATTTACAGAAATAGTATAAAAGGATTTATATGCAATACATAAAACAATAATGAATATAAGCTAGATAAATTAACTTTAATGCAGAACAAAGTTTGAAATACACTTCGTATTCTAGAACGTAATGGAACTTCAGCTTCAAGAACTGTCAAAGCATTTCACCCTCTGAAATTTGACACTTCTGACGCAACTCGCACAGATAATTGTGTTTTGTTTTGGTTATTGGCTTAGTAGTATTGTCGTAGGCACCTTGTATGAGATATTGTTATAGAAGCGAAGAAATATTAAAGGTGAAACTTTTTAACAGCTAAACATTTTAATTATCTTTAGTTAATGGGCGAAATCACGTCCTTAAAAATATTTGTTCTTTATTAACTTCGGAATAGAGCATCTGCTATGAGCAGCATTGGTACTTGTGAATTTTAGTGGGGATACGAACAAATGTTATGGAGATACAAACGGCCGGGGATGGAACCTATGACCTCAGAGATGAGAGTCGCACGCTGAAGCCACTAAGCCAACACTGTTCTCTGGTGTTGTTAAAATATACATAAAACTCAGGTTGTTCATCGATGTTTAAATTGTCAATTCTATGTAGTGTCGAGTCAAAGAGGTTAAGATTATAGGACTATCATAATAACTGCTGTCTACGACAGTTTTAATAGAAAAATTAATCATGAAAAAATCATGAGAATATATGTATCTTAATTAACTATAAATCCTCATTACTATCTTTCTTTTCAATTGAATAGTCTATCTAATAGATAACATTAATCATCTCTTATAATTCTAAAATGAAATTTCCGTTGCATAATTCACTTTTCAAGCCGATTTTGGTTTATCCCAGTGTTTCCCAACGTGGGCCCACGCCGACGGGGGGGCAATTTGATTGTTAAGGGGGCTATTCAAGAATTACTTAAAATTACTTGGAATTTGAATTTAACTTTCTCATTATATTTTGGAAATTTACTTACTGATTCGTTAACAATTTCTAGTAATTTCTTCCTCAATCCTATAATTTATGTTGCTTAAATAACAATTAAATTTTTAAATATTGAAAATTATGTATATTACATAAGAATTTTACAAAGACTACGCATGAGACAAAAAAGGTTGAAAAACACTTCTTTAACCATTATCGGCGATAGAACACGGTTTAGCACGACAATCATTTTACAAATAAACGCTGTCTGTTGTTATAGAGTTTGTCTACGAAAACAGTATAAGCGTAATATTTTGTGATGCTTAACGAGTCCTTGTAAGCAACTTATACGTATTCGTGTGGTAAAAGAAAATATAGTAAGGAAAATAAATACAACAACAATCAGTGACTGCTAGTAGCGCAGCAGCTATAATCTTAATATATATAAATTACGTGTCACGTTGTTTGTTCGCTATGGACTCGCAAACTACAGAACCGATTTCAATCAAATTTGCACACCGTGTGCGGTTTGCTCTAACTTAAAAGATAGGATAGCTTACATCTCAATTTATACCCGCAATATTATTTTATTACAAAATATTTGTTTATTATTTGATAGTCACAACTCTAACAGATGGCGCTGCCGCTGTGTTGAAAGTACCAACGTTTCACATAAGCTACAATTTAATAGCATAACCACGAAAAAAGCATGGTGGTTCCCATTACTGGTGTTCTCCTACCGTTTCCCTTGAATAGTTTACTACTATATATAACTAAAACCTTAGCCACAGCAACGCTTGGCCGGTCTGCTAATAATATAAATCTGAAGAGTATTTAGGTCTTAGGAACCAATTATTGAGGAAAGTATAGGCCATATAACTATGAGCTAGTGTACATAGCAAAACAGTTGCTTAAAAGGTTTCATCAATATTCCTCTCATTTCCACTTTACTCTTCAGAAACAAAAAGCGCTTGGAGCTATTTCGAAACTATAAGACTTGTCTGACACACGATGCCGCCATTCCTTCACGCGTTTTATCCAAGCTAAGCTGACACGACGTACAATTTCATTACCCTAGCTTTGCTGAATAATAGGTTTAGAAATTTCAAAGATATTTTGGTATGTTTTCAAAACAAGACTCGATTTTTTGTGTGGTATCTGAGACAGATTCAATTTAAGATATTTGAATGCCTTTAAAGATATTTTGTAGAAATTGACTTTACAAAATACTAGCACCCATTCTTGGCCTTGCAAGACTGAATTATTTATTAATTTTTAAATATATTTTGGAAAAAATAAGAGAGTAGCATTCTAACGCTGAATGACAATATTTGAAATCGGTCCAGTATTTATTTTACTCATTGCAAACTTACTAATCTAAAAATATATTACTTTAACAATATTAGCATATAGGCAGGAGTATATATAGATATCGACCGAGTAATATTTTGTGTACCTTAAAACGACAAACATACAATTCGCAGAGGCGATGAGAGATTGGAGAAACTGATCGTGGTTAGTAACACAGAAGGCCAAAAGATCACGTGGCCGTTCACCAACCAGGTGGACCGATCACTGTTTTAAAAGAGGCACTGGACAGTGGAAACAGATAGTCCGCTCCAGGTACTTCCTTGCTGACCACGACGCTCAGACATTAGCTGGCGATTGAAGAGAGAGAGAAAACGACAAAAACAATATGCCCGTGTGCGAAATATTTGAAAAAATAATTGTTTTACATGTACACTAAATTTGTTTTAAATAGTTCAAAGACAATCTTAGAAGCATTCAAACTAAGATCAAATGAATTGATCGTGAGCCTAATCAATGTCTGAAACGCTTCATTTAACGTCAAAACAACTAAGCTTATTGGATCCGCAAGTTTGCAAACACTTATGCTCAGTGAGCCAAGAGCGGTTATCCGAGAATCAATACTGGGAAACTTATTCCTCTTTAACGCAGGTCTAGTTCCGTAGACGTTTAAAAAGTTTCTTATATTTTTTTAAAGACGACGACGTCTTATTGCTATTATTATATTCAACCCCCTAATTTGTACACGCAAAACCGGATTAATTACTCTTTTGTCTCTGTCACGTCGTGTTTACCCTGTGATAAAAAGAGACAGATAGTACTTTAGCTACAACTTAAATTGTGAAATTAGAATGATTTATTTTAATGAATAAGAGAGATAATAAAAAACTGAAGCGTTTTAGGTAGAACGCGCTTGTCATATTTCATTACTTTTCAATCTAATACTTTTTCAGGGCTAGTCCTTTGTATTACGTGAGCTGAAAAGTTTAAGCGTAGGCTGACACATTTATGGCGCTACTAGTATTAAATTAATGATTTTAGTTACGCCTTCAAAAGATACGTGTATAAATTTGACAATTGTCATTTATGAAAGACATAAATGAACTTAATATCTCATATATAAAATTCTCGTGTCGCGGTGTTTGTAGTTAAACTCCTCCGAAACGGCGTGACCGATTCTCATGAAATTTTGTGTGCGTATTGGGTATGTCTGAGAATCGGACAACATCTATTTTTCATCCCTAAATTATTTTTTTTAATTTTTAAATAAATTACTTATTTTTTATTTTTTTATGATACAGCATTAAAAAATACATATAACCCCTAATTTATACCCCTCTACGATCAACCCCTATTTTTTATTATAAATGATATACATGGCAAAACGACGTTTGCCGGATCAGCTAGTATAATACATAATTAAAGGGAAAAATCTACGAAAGACTAGGCGGTATGGTCGAAAGACTATAGTTTCATTAAGTGTCGTATTATTAGTTTGTGAGATAAAGTATTTTGAGTGAAGGAACTAATAATAACTACTTAATAACAATAAGTAAAGCAAGTACAAGACCAGAAATTATTGACTAATAATTTTCGATGTACTCCGTGATTAAAAATGTAATAAGAAAATAATTTCATTGTAAAACATTGTAACAAGGAAAGCAATACATACCTATTATGTAAAAGAAAAAACGTGTTAAAGTTAAATAAATAGTTTTATTGATAACAAACTGATAACCACGACTTGCCTTTAGAATTAGAATAAAAGCCTAGCTCCTCAGTGTGACTTTTGACTGAATTGTGGTTTTAATTAAATGATAACCACTTCGCGAAATCTGATTTTGATTAAAACAAAGCCTTTGTTTAAGCACATTAATAAAAATCTAGATCCTACTAGCAAATATACCACAGAAATATTAGATGCCAAAAGATCTTAACCTTAGAAAAATTATTGAGGAAGCATTTCGTAATGTGTCTTCCCATTTTTCATAAATATGCTCAAAATTACATATATATCTCTTTTTGTTGTAAGAAAATACG